AAAAATGATTAATTTTTGTAGAAATGAAATGCTCATTGTTCCTAGTGTGATTTAAAAGTTTCTTGCATTTGTGAAATGAATGATATAATGAATTAACCATTATATGACCTGTGATGCTCTGAAACACTGCATTCCTGGGATTTAACTTATGCTGAAGTATAGTTTTCATGTCACTTAAACTTAGCAAAACTGTGTTAGTTATGTTATGTGTCATTTCATCTGAAGAACTGGAGGAAATATTGCAATTTCCTTTCCTGTTTCCGATTTCCTATTGTCTTCCCTGCTCTCTTTACACCTCCCTCCTCCGTTTTCTGTCTGAACCAATGCAAGCTGAGACATACCCACAATTTTGATATATATCTGTAGAATACATCCCTTTAAAGGAGATATATTGCTTGGAGAGGATCTTCTTTAGCTGTAGTTATTATGTACGGTGTAATGAAAAGGGTATATGTAGCCCCTATACATGTAAATGTATTGATTTTTTATATATATTTTATATGCATAAAAATCACACATGGAGCAGATTAAAATGTATTATTTTTGTGATGTTTCAGGAAAAAGAGTATTTAACTGTGAAAGCTTTCTGGGTCTCATGGTTCTATACCATGAAAGAACAAAGAACCAGGATTCTGAACTCAGAGCTGCTTTTAGAGTATTTGATAAAGAGGGTAAGAGATATGTTGCCTGAACACGCTCAAGTAAGTAAAACACAACAAAGTTGTAACAAAGACATCATACTTCTCCACTCTTGTTACACAGCACAAAAGTTCTCTAATTCAAATCAAACTATAACATATTCTGCGAAAAACACAGTAAGTTGGATATGCTAATCAGACTGTTTTCTGCACGGGAGTGTTAGAGTCACATTAAGAATAAAAATATTATTGTTCATTTTGAGCATAAAGGGAGGAAAAAAGTCAAAATGTGGAGATTAAAGTTGTCGTTTCAAGTCAAACATCTGCCACGGCTGCTATACGCTCTACAAAATGCCCTGTGTAGACAAGCTAGTGAAATCATACTTCAGGATCAGTTTTAGTAAAAAATTATTATTATTTTTAGCACATACACACAGTGTGAGAAGTACAACACCATTGAAGAGATGGTGCAGAAAGCTGCTTCTGGTCAGAAGGAAAAAACACACAAATTTGAATGAGTTGGCCGGGTTTGCAAAATAAAATTACTGGAAATGGACAGATGCAAGGGTGTCGATGGACACACTCTCATCCAGTCATGTTGCATCACAAGACACAATGAGACAGCTCATCAAGTTGTTTCACTAACTCATCATACACAAGGTATTTTGTAGAAGGTATATCAGCCATGGCAGTGTTTGACTTGAAAAAAACAACTCTAACCTCCACATTTCATCTTCTTTCTCAAATTGGACAATAATTTATAAATTTCTTAATGTGGCCCTAATACGCCATCGTAGTTTCACTTAGTGTTAATTGGAATTTGTCTTTAATATTTTCAGGTGTTTTTTCATGTTTAATATCGATGGAGGCGGATATCAGATGGAGACTGATTATGAAGGCATGTTATATGCATTATCTTTTATATTTTATCATTTTGATGATCGTGATTAATTTTATTTTGTTCAAATCAATCAGAAAATGTTTAGTGTATCAAGTCATTATTGCTTTTACACATTTTATCTAAATCTACAAATGAGCTTCCTCTGAAGGGTGGCTGCCAGGTCTATTAGACATTGAGTTAGGAGCTCAGTAATTCATGAAGGGTTTGAAACTCCTAACAGTCCACAATTAAAAGGATCCAGCTTATTTAGTTTTGGGATCTGACTAGGGTCGTCCCTCTTGGGTGCTTCCTCGGTGAGGTATTTTAGGCATATCCAACTAAGAGGAGATCTTGAGACAGATCTGGGTCCTGCTGAAGAGATTAAGTCTCTCAGATGGCTTGCCTTGGGTCTTGCCTTAGAGGAGCTGGAGAAGGTGACTGGGAATAGAGGTCTTGGCATAAAAGCTTAGACAATGCAGATAGGCAGAAATTACTAATCAACCTAATTGTATTATTAAACCAGTGACTGTAACTGACTACAGAAAGTGTTTTAACTTCAAATCTCCAAACAAATTTTGTAAGATATGTTATGCAGGGTAGTAATGTATAAGAATTGTACTATTATACCCACAGTGTCACATATCAAAAAGGTGGAAACAAATAATAATGATTTTATTTTTATTTTTTCAGAATTTGTGGCAATGTTTACTGGAAACTTGTTCAAAATGACTTAAAGAATCTACAGATTTGCTTAAAATCGACAAAAAAATGGAAAATAAAATGTGTTCAGTCACATATCAGTGTGGTGATTTTTGTGCAACTGTGCAAATCCTTACCAGTGAAACAAAATTTTAATGCTGAATTCTTTGCTGGTTTCTTCTTCTGTTCATGTGTTCCTGGGGGAATTCGGGTCATTGAGGTTCGGACAGAAGACATCACAGGGTTAATTTCCTCAGACCTGCCACCCGGATGCAGTCATTCACACGAGTCTGACAGCATCTGGTGTGCAGTCCCATTAAATCCCATTCTCATCCTTGCAAAGCCAAACAGACAGCTGAGGGAGCCAACCACATTCATCATCTTGAAGCCATTAAACCAATTACAGGGTGAAGGGGGAGGGAGCTTGCCGCACTGATCTCTGTTTGCAGCATCCCCAGAGCAACCTCTGCTGTGTGAAATACAAGAAAGGGCAAGACGACGGGAGTAGATCCTAGGAGGCTATCAAAGAACTGGAAAGGAAGATCTTGGGGGTTACCAGGGTAGGGTTTCTTTGACGTGTGGAAACCATCTTCAGAGAAAATGGCTGTTTTGTCAATGTAAACAGCTTGTCCAATACCTGCATTGCTAAAGGGGGAAGCAGAAGAGGAGGAGGAGGGGCAAACACTGGAGCAAATGTTGCCTCTTACAGTGAAAATTCTCTGTCTTTAGCTGCCCCTAGTCTGCCGCAGGTCACCTCTGAGCATGCATGTTGTATGTTAAGGTACGTATGGATCTCTAATCTGAGAGGACACATGAGTAAGACCTGGTCATGGTGGCAGGATTATTAGCTTCAGCTGTTAGTGCAGGACAGCTGAGATCCACTACACGTTAACTAAAAATAACACGCATCCGTATCACATGGTAATACAATCATGCAATCATCCTCACAAAGACCATGTAAAATGTTGCATGCTCCGTCTTTGTGGAGTGTAGGAATTGCTAACTGGACAAGAGCAATGACTGAATCCAGTCTTTGTTTTTCATTGGTTGGCTTCAGTTGCACATGTTCCTCATTAAGAGCACAAGCAGACAGGATGAGGAGGGAGGAATGGATTATATGTCTATGCCTTTCTGTGTCACCATATAACAAAATGGAAAGCATGTTCGTCTTTTAGCACTCCTCATATAATGTAAATCTTAAGGAAAAACTACTTTGCACTCTCATGGGATGTGCATAGTACGTGTGTGGAAGGTACATGTACCAAGTCTTGGATGCAGAGGATATTTATGGAACCTGTGTGTGTGTGTGTGTGTGGGTGGATGTAAGTTGATTTTGATGTTAGAATACGCTGCCAACACATTTCCTCACAGTGCATATTGAAGTTTGAACGCTTACCATTCCGCTGAAATTCATGAAGCTTTTTTTTCCTGCATACCGATTTCCTTCTGTGCGTTTATGACCCACATCCTGCCCAAAACACCTACCACAACCCACTGGCACCATCACCACGGTTTGAGTAAATATGAGGGTGAGGGTTCCAAAAGTGAAATGTTTAATTCTTTGCTTTTTTTTTTTTTTTTAAAGATTTAACTTAATCACGAGTCAAAAAGAAATAAGAAAATAAGATGTAAGCATTTTCATATATATGGTTATAGTTCATTCAATTCATTTTATCACATGAAACCTTCTACAGATTCATTGTAGCAAAATAGTTATCAGCTTCTCCTTCATGTGTCAGGTTTTATTTTACAGATCTTATGGCCAAAGCACCGTCGATGCCTCAGGAGACGTCGGACCAGCACGAAGACACTTTTGCTGATCATGACACACACTAGAGGCTGAACAGTATAACAGCATCTACACAAATAGTGAAGAGCCACACTCCACACTCGACCATGGCTGCAAATGGAACCAGGACAACTACAAGTTTTTTCTCAACAACTGCCACAACCCCCACAACCTCCACGATCCCCTTCCTCTCAACAAGTCCTGGAAGCAGAGACAATATCACCTCAAGAACATTAATGACTGTGACTATAACGACAAATGAGACCAATTTGAATGCCACTGCGTTGCCAGAAGTCGTGATTGAGAGCTCAGGCATGGGAATGTTGCTCGTACCTTTTGGCATCATCACAGTCATTGGCTTAGCAGTGGCAATAGTAAGGAATCATTTAAACATGGTCTCTTCAAAACCATTTCACACAGTATAAAACATAAAAGTTATTTAACTTTCTCCGTCATATCTTTGCTTCTCCATTCCAGATGCTGTATATCAGGAAACGGAAGCGGTAAGTTGCCACAACCAAGCAAGGCTGGATTACCATCCGTTTTGAGTCTTCACAAAACGAAAATAATTAATTAACTCAACTAAAACATATATTTATTAGGTATTTCATGGGTTTAAGCTTACATTGAGATCTAGTGCATAATCATTCCTGAAAAAAGCAAATCATTTGCTCAAATTAGTCCCACTAGGATCACACAGAGGGCACCAAGTTTGGCTCAGTATGTGTTCAACATGATTATTATGTTAATTTCAAAGTCTTTTCCCCCCCTTGCTCATCTTTAACCTGTCATCACACAGGTTGGAGAAATTGAGACACCAGCTCATGCCCATGTACAACTTCGATCCAGCTGAAGAACAAGATGACCTGCTGGAACAGGAACTACTGGATCACGGTCGGGAAGGCAGCATCACAGGGCCCAACGCCAAGGTAGGACTGACAGTTTTTCCAAGTAGCAGTTTTTCTTTTTTACTGTTTGTGTTTATTTTTATGTATAATCTGAAAATTTCAGTGCAGATTTTTTGTATGTTTTTCTTATGAGGTTGTTTTCGCTGTCATAATTCCTTATTTTCTTTAATTCCTTTTAAGTTTTGACAATGGCATAGTTATAAAAGGCAAAAAATGGTAAAGTATGGCCTGTATGTCGTTTCAACCATTTCTCTAAAACCCCCTTTTCTCACTACCCTTATTCTTTCATCCTGTCTTTGTATCTGTATCTCAAATAAAACTACAACCTCTAATTCATTGACCTAATCTGCATTAGAGTATATACATGGAGGACAAACAGTGCTACATCAAACTGCCTTTTCCTTTGAACCTACATTCATATTACCTTTCACATCCTTTCCTTGTCACTCTTTCAACTAAATACTTACACATAAGCTACCCCAGGGGCCACATGAAGCAAACACATTTTCAGAGTTTTCAGATGTCGACTAAATCTATCCCACTGTGTCCTTGTTGATGTTGTGCATTAAATGCATTTGAAAGCCTAAAAATGGCTTTCAAACCTTAATATTTTTTTTATCAAAACTTTATTTTGGCTGTGTAAAACAACCAGGACAACGGCATCAATCAGTTTTATAACACATGCTGGTATTTTCATAATTCCGGATTTTATGATTTACATCATCTGTGGTCTGTGGCCTCTGGTGCAAATTTTCTAGTTTCAGTAATGAATCACAGTCTAAAACTAAAATGCTAAGTCTGTGTAGGTGCTCTTATTGTTCTAAAAGTAGCAAAACATTACTGGGGAAAAGAATAATTTAGTTATTGTTATAGTTTCCTTCTGTCCTTCTTTATTTTATTACTAATGACACTATAAAGCTTGTGTCATCATATGTTCTTAATGTAACGGTTTTGGCTTTCCTGCTTCCTGCTACCGCTTTCCTGCAGACTCTTACAAGCTCCCAGGGGACAACACAAAGGCCCAGTCGTCTTGTCTTCACAGATGTAGCCAAAGCTCTCAACGCTTAACAGCTCTCTTCCATTGGATAAAATCAGTTTGCGAGGTTTGCTGGCCTCTATAAAGGGAAACCAGACTGTGTGGCGGAGCAACTGGAGCTCCGATGAAGGTTATCGTCACCATGCGTGGAACGGCAGCGGTTGCATGTATGGTGGAGAAGGGCAACGGGAAGCATCACGTATGATCTTGCACTGTTATCATATGGCACACAAATGAAGTGGGATGCACTTTTTTTTAAGGAAAAAAAATCATGTCATGTCATTGCTGTTAAAATATTTGGTAGCTTGTCAGGGAAGTTCTTCTGAGCTTCAGTATCTACGTCTATGTTTCATAAAAGAGAAGTGTATATCTGTGTTCTAGTGATTTTTTTGGTCCTACATTCCTGACAAGATTCAAAGCTGGATGTGTTTCCATCCTTAAGTAAAGTGTTTCTCCCCAGTCGGTTTATTCTTTTGTGAGCGTTTAAGGATTGTTTCTCTGCGTGTGTGTACATTAAAGTTATTTAAACCAATTTCTAACGAAATGTTCTTGTTGCACAAATCTAGAACAAAGGAGTTGATAGGTGATATTTTATTAATAAGTGATGCGCAGATGTAGAGTAACACAAATCACAAGGTAAAGAATCAAAACAAAATATATATCACAGGTTTGTGAGTTCTATTAAGGAAGTGGATGAGGACACATCAACACATAACATAACTACAAAATGGTGTTAAAAGTAAGGCATAAAAAGTTGATTTCTCAAGTTACACTTCAACCTTTTCAAGAGTTGAAAATGGATCAAGTACTGTATGTAACTATATAACTATCAGTAAAATCACAAAACATTGTCCCCATTTAGAGAGTAAATATCTAGACAGCTCTTGTAAAATAACACACATTGACTCAGCTGTAGTTAAATTAAAAGGCACCCTTTAAGGCTGACTTCCATTCACTTATGGTCATATGAATGTAGTGAGATGAGTGATGTGGACTACGACAGTACTAGTTTGACAGTTACTTCAAAATTTCATGATCCACATGACCTGCAGGTCTAATGGGAACTATTAGACATATTTAACCAAGAGTTTCCCCCAGAGATGACCCAGGCGTGTTTGTTTTCAGAGGTAGTCCAGGGAGCATAGTCAAAAAAAAAACAAAACAAAAAACAACCCAAAAAGCAAAAAACAAAATTAAAGTCAATGCAGATGAACACTGAATCAATATCTAATCCGGCTGCAATTTTGTCAACAATGCTGAATTACATGAAATGACTGAAATACAAAATATCAGTGATAATATAAGTACATTTTACGTGGAAGAAACATATATACAGTAAATAATGGTGATATTCAAGTAATGTGCAGTAATTAGCAACTTGTAAGTGATATCTAATTTGGATAAATGTTCACAAAACGACTTCTCAGAAACATTTTTTAAACTACATGGAGGCAGGAAATTTCTTAACCTCTGATGTTTTAGACATAAAGGATTCAGTCATTTGTATGAGAAACATCTCCATGAGGGAAAAAGACATCCTGAGCTCTCCAGATTATTCTATATATCTATGTGGCTACTTATGTTGATTCATGATAGAAACCAGATTTACTATTTACGAACATATATAATATATAATA